GTACTGACTTATCAACAACTCTAACTATATTATTGATTGGATAGATGTGTGTGACTACGATTTCCCATCCTTGATGATAATTGCTGACATGAGAGAATGGCATGATGAGGAAAATCTTTTAAAAAATCTGTCTACTTTCTAAAAAAAGCGTGTGAAAGTGATCCAGATAGTCTATCTGGAGTAACATCATTTAGGTGGACTGAATTTTTTGAGTGGACATCTCCCCCAAAGGTAAAGCTGGCGGTCACTGTACAAATGGCCAATTGGTAAAACGAACTGGTGACTTAAGTAGGAAACTCAGAAGGGAAGACCAGGAGACTCGGTTGTCTCTTCAACAGGATTCTGTATTGAGAATGAGCTGTTGGTAGCTGCAGTCATCAAGTCTGACACATGAACTTTACATGGTATCTTATAAGCATTAAGTGGACAGTCCTTAAAGGTGCTTACAGTCCATAAAAAGGTGTTGACCTTACACGCAGCCTAAGAGGTGACCACTAAATCAAATCATCTAAGGACAATATAGGTAATTACCCTCGACTTAGAAGATAATGGTACAACCCCCAAATTGTATTAAACATCTAGCCTGTCTTCGTCATATTCATATTCTCTTTGATTATGAGGCGTGTCTTAACCGAACCAGAAAAAAAAAACTCAATTTGATTGGCGTGACGATTTCTGAACGATCATAATTACTCTTCAATGGATCGAGTCCATACCGAACTTCTGTACCAAAAAATGTTGTGGGTGGGGTTTGGGCTGGCATCCAGGCTAATAAACATCACTTGGTTGCAAGAACTAAGGCTATGCAAATGTTCACACATAGTTTGACTCTAAGTAGGAAGATCAAAGACTGACAAAAGCCCCTCACTGGAAACTCTATTGAATCTAATCAGTAAATTAGAAAATCAGAAAATCAGCCATCATGTTCACCTTGAATGCCCAATACAGTGCAGTTCTTCTTATGTGATGTTATGTAAGGATGTAGTATCAGCAGATCTTAAACAGAATCTTAAATTTGTCATCCCACAATGGAGGATTGTACATGGTGCAATAGCTTCGACCAGATACTGTATGTGGTGAACCTCAATCCAAACGTAAGGTGTTGTCCATTTTGTTCTTTTGCAATGTGTACTTTTGGGTACATTGTTTTCTTTCTTCTTTTTTTCCTCAATGGGTATCATCTTTATGTAAAGATTTAGTTCATCAATTGTTCATTTTTGCTCTGTATAAGATTTTTTTGGAACTGTCAAATGTGCTATCCCTTAAAGTTCAGCACCTTAAAGTGTTGACAGATAAAAATTGATGTTGTAGATGATGAAATCCTGGAGTGAAACAACATCAGAATCATAACAACTATAGAATGTAGATGTGTTATACAAAATATGTATGTTTCATCTGTTGGAATTAGCTGAATGTGTGATAGTTCCCTCGCCGCTTTGGCCTTTTTTGTGTTGGGTATTAGTTTCTGCCACCCAATAGAAAGAGAGAGCAAAAGAACTAAAGAGCAACTCCAGAAATGAGGCTATAAATAAAAATTCTGCTTTTGTGTTCAGGCACATTCTGCAGTGCTGATTAATGCTCTCTCTGCTGAAATCAATGCTGGAATCTCTCAGTCTCTGATTGATTCCACATCACTCCATCTTACACTTTAGGGCTTTAATAAGAAAGCAAAAAATATGTATAAAACAAAAAAAGAAAATAGGAGAACAAGAAAAGATACGATTTTGATTTGTTTCAGTTATGGAAAATGGTAGGAACATTTTTAAATCAAACAAAGTTGCTCAACACATTGTGCACTTAATAAAAACATTTCAACAATACACTGATACATTTATTTAAATAATAATACAATCCCAATCCTTGTTCTTATTCATCCATCCATCCTTTCTTCAAACCGTTTATCCTCAGGGTCACAGGGTGCTCTTGTCCAGTTCATGTTTATTATTTTACATTACGAAAAATGCATTGCATTGTTGGATTTTTATGTTGTTGTAAGGATATATGTTGATTGATGCTGCTGCAAATATGGTTACCTATTGAGCCAGCGCAGTCTCATCTCAAGACGTCATATAACTGACGTCTTGGGACGTCTTTTGACCATACGTCAACATCCGCTGTTTTAGGGTACCATTTAACGTCAGTTACATGACGATCCTGGGATGTCATACAACTGACGCTTTACCTTTAACGTCAGTTAGGTGACGGGGTAGGTTTAGGGGTAGGTTTAGGTCTGGGGTAGGGTTAGGATCCGATAACGTCATCTAACCGACGTTTAAGGGTACCCTAAAATGGCGGATGTTGACGTATGGTCAAAAGACGTCCCAAGACGTCAGTTATATGACGTCTTGGGATGAGACTGTGTTAATCGAGCCATGGTGTTCATGCAGGAGAGTTCGAGCCTAGCTCTCGACAAATATTCCCTGTTTTTTAAAAAATGCTGTCTGTGAAGCGGCTTTCTGTGCGCACACACCCAAAATGCATGGACAGAAAGCCACTTCTCAGCAGGTCTTAAAGTTACAGCAGCTTAAAATACCAGCTGCACTCTGTCATTAATGTTTATCAAAGAGCACAAGAAAATAGAGACTGCTCTTTTCTGAATACATTTTGTAGCTTTCATAAAAATGTATATATAATTAATTTATACGGTGAAGGTGCAGTGTTATTTTACATTTGATTACTATATTCAATTTCTGTATTTCTTTCCTGAATACTACTGTTACACCTTAAAATCCTTATTTAAATACTGACTGTTTACTTGTCTTTAAAAGTATTTGAAATTTTGTGTTAGTTAAGATAGTACACAAAATTTGAACTGTGAAATTTCACTGGTACTGTCAGCGCAGTCTCATCCTATCCCAAGACATCATACAACTGACGCTTTTGACCATACGTCAACATCCGCCGTTTTAGGGTACCCTTAAATGTCGGTTAGATGACGTTATCTAATCCTAACCCTACCCCAGACCTAAACCTACCCCGTCACCTAACTGACATTAAAGGTAAAGCGTCAGTTGAATGACGGCCCAGGATCGTCATCTAACCGACGTTTAAGGGTTCCCTAAAACAGCGGATGTTGACGTATGGTCCAAAGCGTCAGTTGTATGACGTCTTGGGATGAGACTGTGTTAGTACTGTTGGTACTGTATGTAAAATGTTGGTATCGTAAAACAATCTTATTTATTTAAAGAGAAGCGCATGGGTCAAAAGCAATATTTTCTATTCATTTCATCCCCAGAAAAAAAAAAAATCCATTGAACAGAGACATCGATAGACAAAATAGTATTGGTGGTACTGGCCTTCAATTTCGTAGCACTTAGTACATATGCTGTTAAAAACATGTTTACACAGGTTATAAAGTTTATTGTATCTTTGTGGCCGCTTAGTTTTTTGTGTAATTTGGCCAAAATCTCATGTTATTAAAGATAAAGTGTTATGCAGAGACTATTTAAAGTATTGATTATGGCTCAATTTCTACATTAAGACACTATTGTCCGCTCCTCAAATACATAAAACATTAGTCTTTATATAATTCTAGTGATTCTTGAAAAAGAAAATGTTGTAGGCCTACTTAATCAAACCACCCGTTCTTTATTTACCCTTGCATTGCAAACAAGCAGAGACGATCCAAACTGCATGTGGCATTTTTTTCACAATAAAGGCAGGATGGAGTTTTTTGGGTGGAGGTTTTATTGACAGTTTGAGGATCCAATGGAGTTGTGAGGATTAGTCACAAGCTCTTATTAATATTTTTAATTAGTTAAATATTTGCGAAATATGGAGATACGTGGTTTGTGCCTGACAACGGCAATATGGGGGTGATCTTCCCCTTTTTATGAGTGCGCTCCTGTGTTTGCTGTATATTTTATCACCTGATCTCGTGGGAGGCCAGGCCATAAACTCCTACCCTGGGGCTAATTCATTTAGGCAGGGTTAGTGGTCAGACACTTGAATACTCCTTTGAGGCGTGCGTTATGGTGAACTTTCACAGGTCCGTCCCGAGAGGAAGATCAGCCCCATATTGCCAGCCTATTGCAAACTGTAGTTTTCACAAAGTTCAGGAGAGGTCAGGCAGAACAGACACCATGATAAAACCACAGTTTATTTGTGTTCATGCTGTGCAAGTCTCCCAGCCCATGTGTTAACCTCATGCAGAACATGAAGGGACATCAGGAGAATCTATAATGTTTGATCTGTGACAACTGTGGATGCAGGAAAAGTTCAGTACGGATCTTGCTGTCTGCACAGTTACAATCACCCATCAGATGCCAATGCAGAGTGTCTGGGGCGGAAAGCAACAGAATCCAACAAGGGAGTGAAAATCAATGGAAAGGCAGAAAGATAAGACCAAATGCAACCAATAATTATAGTTCAGTATTGAAGGACTGGCAGCTTTAAAAAATGCTCTTGTTATCTGAGCCTATTAGAAAGAAGCATTGCGAGCACTCACAGACAATTTCAACACTTAAAACATGATGGTTTCTGTAGTGCAATCCATTGCTAAAACAACGTCATGCAATAGAATAAGAAAGTCTGCCCAAAGTGCCACATGTGTCCTTTTTTCATAAAATAAAAATATGTTATGGTCACTGACTGTTAAGGTCAGTTGCAATATTTACTGCTTCTTTTTTCAACTTTGTGAGATTTTTAATGTTTTTTTTTTTTTTTTAACTCTAATGCTCAACAAGGATGCACTTATTTGATAAATATTGTGTAACATTATTACATTTTAAAATTACTGTTGTCTATTTTTAATAAGTTTTAAAATGTAATTTATTCTTGTGATGGCAAAGTGAAGGCTGAAAAGAAATTTAAGGTCAAAAGAATAAGCCGTACGATGTTTGAGTTAAATAGGAGTGTTTTTCTTGAAGGTGTTTTTGCAACAGTATTGATGGTAACCTTTATAAATTTACTTATTTATGTTATATTTTTCATTTTGTTATTCAAAGAATAAGGATCCAAACTGACTTGTTAATGGACCATTTTGTCTTTTGCCAATTTAGATAACAGCTGAGGCCATCCTGCGACTTGCTACAGATCCAGTTCTTCCCTTTTGCCCTCTGGATATCGCACTGGATGTTCAGAACAAACTCAAAGGTAAGAATGCACCTTTCATAGTTTTTTTTTTTTTTTTTTTTACATAAAAATTAAATAAAACGGTATTCCTCATCAATTTATAACTGGCAGGAATTTTCTAGAAGTTTGTTTGAGGATGTAACTCAGCATTGCAGACTGAGCCAGCTCTGTGTCATCACTCACTCCTCCCAAAGATGATTTATGGAGAGATCATCTCTTTGGGTGGACATATCGATCTTTGCATTACAGTTTACCGGGGCATTGGAAGAATGACCTTGATTTCTGCATTTGTAAAATACAAATGGGTGCAAATCATTTCTCGGCTCACCCGGTGCTCAGATCAAATGGGATTATAGGCTTCAGACCCGACTGGACATCAGTCTGGTGTTTCACCAATAAAAACGGAAAACATTCCCACCAGAGGAAAACACTTTATACTTCATTAAAGCAAAATAAACCCAGGGGTAGTAATGAGCTTTTGACTGAAAATGTACAGAACATTCGGAAATTAAAGCCAAAGACTTGCAGAACTGGATTTTATATATTTAATAACATAAAATCATTTCATAAAATATTTGGCTCGCAGCCATAAAAACATAAAATGGTGGCTCGCCGGTATAACTATTTTTCACCTCTGCAGAGAGACATTCAAAGCTACCCCTCTGAATCTGTTCTCTAACATTGTCAGAGCGGTGGGCCTTTGTGTTTAAATATTCATGAACGCACAGAAGAGGACAGGTGAGAAATGTAATTGCCACATAATGACAGACTGCAAAGCCCTTAATGCTGTGTAGTATTGACATTTCATCAGACAAGCACCAAACACTTGTGTCCGATCTTTTGTTTTACTGGATGCAGCGGCATTGCATGCCTGAGAAAATCCCACATCATCCACAGATGCTTTGTGAAGTTATTTTCAATGTCACTGTTTGAAAAGAAAAAAAAAAATCAGAAATATCTTCTTTTTTTTTTTTTTTTATCTCATTATTTTGCATACTGGTGATGGAATGGCACTCCCAGCTGTTTCCTGACAGATATAACTGTTCTGTTCAGTCTGTTCGGTATAATTTGGAGTTTGAAGGAGTGAAGTCTACTCCAAATGTCACTGTTATGGTAAAACCTGTGATGTCATTGTACTGACGTTCTTTGTCAGTTAAAGTGGTGGTTTACTGTTTTTTTTTTTTTTTCTTTGCATGACTGTGTTTATGGGGTGCAATATAACATGTATTCGTGATTTTGCTTTTTTTTTAAAAGTTTTATTTTTCATAAATTTATCGTAAGCCGCTTTCTCCTCTGTCATTTGAACGACCGGTTTACATCCTGATTCTATGAAACCACTCCGTCAGAAACAATGGGGTTTAGATTGGTTAGTTTGGGCCGGTGTGTTGTGATTGGCTAAACTGTGTAGTGCAGGTTTTCCGGAAACTTCATGCCCATTACCTTTACGGGCGAGAGTTGCATGTGTTCCTGTCAAATGTAAAAAAAATGGTGTCGATACTGCCGTATTAGTTTGAGTCAGAATCAGACCCAGAAAGCGGCGATGAAGAGAGGCAAGCAGAACCTCACCACGCACGGCTCTCACAAAACATTTCTGAATGGTAATTTTTTTTTTTTTTAATTACTATTATTATATTCTATTCTACTATCATTATAAGAATTTTGATACGTTGTTGCTTGAAAATGCTACTGCTGCTTGTTAGCTTTTGAGATACGGTTTTCTCCTGATTAAACATTTAATTTTACTGAATAAATGTTTTTCGAAAGTTATTGTTTTATCGATATAATGAACACTGGTTTATATATTCACAAAACTTAGTTTACTCAGTGTATAGTTTTATTTAGGTGTAGCCTACATTTGGCAATTGTGTTAACCATACTGTACACTGATAACAGCAGCTGAAGTTTGCTGCGATTACATAGCCTATAGTTTTTTTTTTAACTTTATACACATTTGTCTTACACAAAATAGCATCAAACTAACTGGCTACTATACACAAACAACGTTGGAATTGGTTTACGTTATTGATAAAATCGAAAAACTAAGTCATTAAAATATATATACATGAAAATACATTTACAAAATTAGTACATATACAAGTACATATAAGGTCCAAAATGTTAGTACGCATTTGTCGTAGACACGAAATAGCATAAGTAGCTATAAAGCCAGCGCTGACATTTGATGAAACTAAAACATTACGTCTGAAATTATACATGCAAATACATTTAAAATGATTAAGTCTTACTTACAGGTTGTGGCCCAACAACTGCTGCCTCTGGTTTTAAAGTTGGAACTGCTTCATGTTTTAGTAACAGTTTCTTGTTGAATCCGGCATTGAATTGGTGGAGATCCTGGAAGCTGTCTTATGTAAAATGCGCAGCACAGAGAGCTAAATTACTATTGTAACTTTCTGGAACGCAATGAAAAATAAATTGTATCCATTGTTGACAAACTACAACGTCCGTGGGAAGCCCGAACACAGACGACCTGACAGCTGGATGAACATAACACACTTTCGACCAGTGGTGGAGGAAGTACTGAATCTCAGTACTTAAGTAAAAATACAAATAACCAGATAAATATTAACTTTAGTAAAAGTAGAAGTAACACAATGACAACCATACTTAAGTAAAAAGTAAAAAGTACCTGATTTTAAATGTACTTTAAGTATTAAAAGTAAAAGTACTTGCATAACAATTGATTCTCTTAATGACTATTTTCTAATGATTAATAAAACATTTAATCGTAACTCATTCAACCTAATACTCCTATAATGATGGTCAATAATGATGGAAAAAAATGGCACCATTTCTGAAACAAGCTTGCAATTAGGCAATATAAACCATGCTTATCCTTACTAACTTATATGTTTATAACTATGTTTGGCAGTAAACACGATTAATTTATGGTGTATTTCTGAACCTCTTGGCTTGCCATAATCCTAACCAAACGTATATTACACACGGTGCGTTTCCTATGCACATAAAAACAAATTTTTGCGTATAAATTGCACGATAAACACACTGTGTGCGAGACGCATTTAGTTGATGTATCTATGGCAACCAAACGTCACTGGTGAGACAAACGTGCAACGAACAGATCAGATTACGTTTTGGCCAGGGAAAAACTTATCAGAAAATGTAATGAAAAAGTAACAGAAGTTGTAGAAATGTAGTGGAGTAGAAAGTATAATAATTGCTGCAAAATGTAACGAAGTAAATGTAAAAAGTAGGCACTATTTATTCTACTTAAGTAAAGTAAAGATACGTGAAAAATGTACTTAAGTAAAGTAACAAAGTATTTGTACTTCGTTACATTCCACCACTGCTTTCGACGAGCCACAGAAATATGGCCATGCCTTTTTTTACATATTCCGGAGGGAGGGTTGATACAAATGTATGGGTTATAGTTACGTATAAAACCTGTTGTAGTCCTATTCGAGTCGTTTTTGTAGGGATTAAACCTGATTTTCCTGATTCCTAAATTTTTTAAAAAATTGAAATCTCTGCTTACACTGAACTTTCAGCGCTGCAACTTTGCAGATACTGTTCATGCACCAACAGCAACATTACACACTATTTAAAATGAAAAAAAGTGAAATCGCAATCAACCAGGTTTAGGTTTTGCACTTTGAGCTTTGTAACATGAAACCACATCATATGACCCATTTAAATGCAGTGCTATATTCTTATATAAAGCCTGATTGTTCATGGGCACCAACTCAATCAAGAGTGGGTAGAAGCATAGAATTCCCTCACCATAATAAATATTACATACACGGTATCATTCAAAAGTTTGGGGTCAGTGTGTTTTCAAGAAATGTATTCTTTTATTCAGCAGGAATGCGTTAAATTAATCAAAAGTGACCGTAGAGACACAATAATGTTACAGAAGAATTCTATTTGAATGAAATGCTGTTTGTGTATAACTCTCTACTCATCAAAGAATCCTGAGAAAACAGTCATGATTTTAAATTGTAATATTATATTTCACAACATTACTGTTTATAGAGAATTATTTAAAGTCCCTGTGAACCGGAAGTTGCAAACGACTTTAATCCAGTGTTGTGACGTATTTCCGAGAGAAACGGAACACTAAATGAGGCAAAATAATGGGCGTGGCTTTTTTTCCAACTAGCACCTGATTGGATCTAGAAAAATGGGTGTTTCATTCTGAAATGAAGAATGACGCAAGTTTACACACGCTGTCAATCAATGCTCGCTCGGCGCTCGCAAACACACAGCAGCTGTCAGTTGGAGGGGCGTGGTTATGGATGTTAAGGAGACACCCAAACCGTAAAGCCTACGTCATCGGGCAAGGTCCTCCAATGCAGAGGGGAGGGGCATTTTCAAAATTTGATTAAAGATTACGAAGCCATTTTTGTGTGTGTGTGTGTGTGTGGATTGACTTGCATGTATGAATTGTTCACCACAAAACAATCAATTTAGGCAAACAAAGTAAGTATGGTCAATTTTGATTTCATGGGGACTTTAAGCATTTAGATATAGATACCAAATTTAGTACAGAGTTTGATTTGTAGTGTACAGTAGTTAGAGAATGGGGCAAGTAGATGAATAGTGCTTGTTAGGACATTCTCTCCTTTTAAGAGTTTCAGAGGCACATGAAATGACAGTATTCATGAGGAATAATGTATTGAGGAAGATCAAAGAGTCATGGCTAATTGAAACCTTTGAGATCGTTTGTTCCCAGAGAGCTCATTGATGTTCAGATTATTTTAGAGTGACTCTGCGACGTGAAGAATGAAGACTGCCAGACATCATCTGAAATCACACAAAATACTTGCTGCAAGATAAGTTGATGAGGCTGTTATTGGTGAAGAGAAGCTACTTTAAAATGTAGTTATCACTACAAAGTTAAGCTATTCTCTTTTGAAAAGTTAGTTTACTACAGCTACTAACAGAAAGTCAAAAAGCTCATGAGGGAAGAACGATTATGGCCTCATGCTGCATTCACGCTACCATTGACTTTGTCGCTGCATGTCGCCAGTGGCTGGCGGTGAGGCCGCTATGGGAGTTTCTACTACTGGTTGCCTAGTAACATTTGTAAAAGACATTCACAGATGTTACTCCATGTTGTAAACAACAAATCAGCTTTCTTGCTGCTGCAAACAAACATTTTGGAAGCAAATATCTAAATAATTGTGGCGTCAGGTGTCAGAAAGCTGGGAGACAGAGGCACACACTTCTTGAAATGCTTGCTAGGATCCTTAACTACGCTCTAGAGAAACAAATGGCTCCTAAAGGCAAAAAAGCTATTGCCGTGTATCTCACGTGCCCTCTTCTATTTTTTAAGAGGTATTGCTTCAAATTGCTGACAGCCTGTTGTCTTCTGGCCTTACGATAGTTTGAACATTAAAATCCTTTGTGAAAAAGAAATCATCTGTTATAAAACACCGCTTTTGTAGCCACACACACTCAGACAGATGTTTTTAAGGTGTTGCATCACACTGTTTTTTTTTTTTAAAGCTTTTGTGGAAAGCATTGCATTTTTAAAACAGAGTGTCTGTTCATAGTCCAACTTTTTCAAAAAGCATCTTGAGATCCCAGCATTCAGAGCGATTTCTTTGAGCTCCGTCAAGCTGTTTGTTAATGCAACCTAAGAAACATATCTGTAGTATGCACACAAACACACAGACATATGCAAAAGCCACATACACACAGCAACCAGAGCCCAGGTGTCATTCTCCCTCTAGCTTTGCGTTGAAAGCTGGGAAAATGATCCCGGGCGTGTCAGAGTTGGTGCTGAACAATATAATGTGAGGCTGTTCGCTGCAGTTGCAGTTGTTATCTCATCACGAAAAGTTATCTCGACAGACGCCTCCAACTCAGGTTCGGCCCTCTACGAGAGCAGGCTAGTCTTCTGGTCGAGGGCAGCCCGGGAGGGGCACTTACACATAAACTGCCTGGAGATGATAGCGGTTGTGAACGCCTTGGGGCATTTTCTCCCTTTCTTTCTCCACAATGTCCTAGTCCGCACAGACAACAGGGTGGTAGTGTCCTTCATAAATTGCCAGGGCGGTCTCAGATCGCAAAGCCTTCATGCGCTTGCGACGCACGTGCCGGGCCACCAGAATGTGGGCCTGGACAGGCTGTCCAGAGACAAAGTTCCCCCAGGGAAATGGTCTCTGCACCCTCAGACAGTCCAGTTACTGTGGGACAATTTTGCCAGAGCGGACAACGATCTCTTTGCATCAGCAGAGAACACGCACTGTCCAATATTTTTTACGAAGAGCAAGGACGCACTGGCCCTCGACTGGCCCAGCCATCCGCTTCATGCAATGTCTCATTCACATTAGCGTTATTGGCTTAAAGGGATACTCCACTTTTTTTTTTTTTTTTTTGAAATAGGCTCATTTTACAACTCCCTCAGAGTTTAAACAGTTGAGTTTTGCCATTTTTGAATCCATTCAGACGATTTTCTGATATTTAGAAGAATATCAGTAACCAGACAGTTTCTGGTCTCATTGACTACCATCGTATATATTATTGACCTACTATGGAAGTCAATGAGACCAGAAACTATTTGGTTACTGATATTCTTCTTAATATCAGAAAATCCACTGAATGTATTTGAAAATGATAAAACTCAACCGTTTAAACTCTGAGGGAGTTCTAAAATGAGCCTATTTCCAAAAAAAGTGGAGTATCCCTTTAAGATTGTCTTGATAGCCCGACGGCAGCCGTGAACCTGTCAGCACAGTCCCTCGGTAACTTCATACTACTGATCATCGTTTTACAAAAGCATTAATAGTTTGGAGTGAAGCATACATACAATTGGTAATTGACAAGGTTTTATGGTGTAGTATGCAGCATATGATTGAGTAATAGGCTAATGTTACCATAAGCTTGACCCAGTTTTTAAATAAATAAGGGCAATCATACCTATTGTAGTTAATTTTGCAATGTATCGTTGCCGGTCAGTAGGCGTCAATGCCTCGCAATAAGACATTTATTTATTTATTTTTCTTGTTCGATGTTCGCTTTGTTTTCCCCCACGCCGACTCTGCCCTCACCACGCCCCCAACTATGACTAATTGCCGACTGTATGTATATACAAATGTGAAAGTGTTGCCTCAAAAATCTCAAGCGATTTTATTTTGTGGTGCTGTCTATGTTGAATGGCTGCCCATAAGTGAATATATAATTTTTGTTACCAACAAAATTCCAATTTTAGTGTAAGTCTCCATGAGACTTTGTGTGAAACTACCATTGTCCATTTCAAATGTATTTGTTTGTGCATTCAGTAGTATAGACGTATGTGTGACTTAGTATATATGCATGCAAGTGAGACACCTCATACTAGCCTGTTTAAATGCACACCCACCTGTCACAGCTCTGGCATTATCTTCGATGACAGTTCTCAACAGCTCCAGCTTAACACATGATTAATGCAGGCTTTGAGTAAGCAAGTTGAAAGACTGAGCAGAAGCATGACAGAATTTTGTATGTGTTCTTTTCAATTCAAACTCCTTAAACTAAAGATCAGTTTAACCCAGAGGGGTTAGAAGGTTTAACTCATTTGTTAGATTCTGAATTCGGGCATATGGAGTTATGCCAGGAGTACACGTATGTCTTTATTTAGCCCAAAGTTTTTCTGTTAAATACTAGACTTTTTCATTTTGAGGGCCAGAGCTCTCCTGGAGTTTTGAGGATTGCATTTAAGCTGTCAAAACAGTTGTAGCTAACAACAAGTGAAGTCAAGTACAGAGCCGGGGGGTGTGTCTGAGACGATTAGGTTTATGAGGATGAAGTGAATTTGGATAAAAGCTGCTTTGAGTGATGGAAAGGTGAGGTTAATAGCAGCTGCAATGCATTAAGCTCAATTTGGCCGTCTGTGTTATTCTACCTAAAATTGACCGAAATTATGATGTCCAATGCCTAGCAATTGCACCATTTAAGAATTTAATTTTTAAGAATGCATTAAATTCTTCCAAAGTGAAAAAGACTTTTACATTGTACCAAAATCCCTCCAAAAAAAAAAAAAAGTCCTGCTCTTTTTGAACTTTCTATTCATCAAAAATTCCTAAAACAAAATTGTTTCAAAATTCAATAAATTCTTTTTTTAAATATATTCTAATAGAAAAAAAGATACACTATGTTAAAGGCACAGCTAAATTACATTCATTATAAGATGGTTTTAAAGGCACAATATATAAGTAAAATAACAAAACCACTAGAACAATGTTATTGTTGACTTGTATACTTTCCAACAATGTTTAAATCAGCTGTTCTAACCAGTGTAACGCCCCTTATCATCACTGTCAATGACGTCACATCCATATTACCCTCAATCTCCAGTTTTATTTCCAGATACCTTGGAAATACCAAAGACACTTTAATATATTTTGTGTTTCATTAGACAGGTGATCTGCTGTTTGGAAACCTTTAAAAATACAATTATACAGTTATACAACACAGTTATTGTTTGAATGTCTTGTTTTCTTGATTTACTCTGTTTTGTGCCCACAAAAAGTAAATCTGACTATTTAGTCAAGTTGCTAATACATCATAATCAGAAAGAGTGTTAATTGTAGTTACAGTAAAACAGCAGTTTCTCCACAATTCAAAGTTTTTAAATGAATTGCATTCCGTTAAAGGGATACTCCACCCAAAAATGATGAAAATGAATTCTGTCATCGTTTACACACCCTCAAGTTGTTGCAAACCTGTATGAGTTTCTTTCTTCTGCTGAACACAAAGGAAGATATTTTGAAGAACGATTGGAACCAAACAGTTTTTGGCACCATTGACTTCCAGTAGAAAAAAAAGAAACTCATACATGTTTGTAACAATTTGAGGGTGAGTAAATGATGACAGAATTTTCATTTTTGGGTGGTGTATCCATTTAAGCAACACAGGTCATCCAGCTTTTATTAAAATTATATTCTAATATCGATCTAGCTTACTACAGTGTGATTATGTGATCAAACGTCACTGTTACAAAAGAGGCGAACATGAAACTTAAATTAAAGATTATATGCTCGGTTTCACAGACAGGGCTTAAGTTAAGACAGGATTAGGCTTTAGTACATTACATTAATTTGGAGATTCAGTGTGAAAATTTGTATTAAAATATAAAACAATATTACACATTTTAATGTTAGGTGCAATTAATCATGGTTAATTTCAGAAAAAAAAAACAATGTTTGATTAATTCGTTTTAATGGATTGACTGCAGTAATTCATATATCATTCATGTCATATTTTATTTATTTATTTATTTTTAGATGACCTATTGAGTAGGCCAGACCTGCTGAACCTGGCTGCATCTTTGAGGGACAGTTCAGCCTTCTTCCAATCTGAAGTCATGCGTCCTGCCAATGACCCCAAAGAGAGGGATCCAGCCCATGTACGCATGCTCAATGACGTCCTTCGAGATCTGGAAAAAAGCTTCCTTATCCTGAACCCTTTGCCAGGGTTTTACAGGTAATTGTTTTACACCAGTGGCTTTCAAGATCACAAACGTAAAAAAAAAGAATGCTAAAATATTTATGAATCCATACATTTTTACAACATGAAGTCTTTCATGCAAACAATAATACATTCATACAAAGAGCCCTCAAGTTTCTAAGCATGTGAAAAGTGGTAAAACACGGGAAACTTTGATATACCTGAAAACAGAGAGATGTCAATTATTGAGGGTTTGTGGTGAATGAAAGCTGAATAAAAAAGTTTCTTGTCAGAAGAGAAATGAAAGCGTTGCTAAAAATGCCAATTTATTGTCACATCACTTTAAGGGAAAACAAAAAACCATCAAGTATTGCTCACACTTTTTTTTTTCCTTTGACTTACTATCCTACTTTTTCCCCACAGAGTTTACCAAAAAAAAGTTTGAATGCAAAACATAATATAAAGTGTAACAGTCCTCATGGAGAAACCAAAAATGAGCTAATTTGGAAAGTTGGATGATATTCCCACTTCTCATTGTAGACCAGAAACCTGTGCAATCAAAGGTAGCTGTCACATCTGTGTATTTTGCTGCTGATGCAGTGGGATGCATTTACGGACAGATATGGAGATGAAACGTTAACATAGTACAGTATTCTAATAACTATTCCCTCAAAATCTGCTGCTTTACAAGGCGATATAGATGATATGACAATTCATTTTAGAATTAAGAACAAATCGGCCTGGTTGTTGGCTGAGGGCTTGGCTGAGGCTCTAAGCCAATGATTGCTAAGCTAATGAGTGCTAAGCTGTGTTGTCGGTTTGAGTACAGAAGAGATGTGCCCGAAGCCGAATACATTATTCAGAACGGCATGGATAATGGCTTCAAAACGAATAACAAATTTTGCCAAATAGAAAAGAAAAAAAATAATAATATTTGGCGGACAGTCGCTCCTTGTGTTTGCTAGATAACAGGTGAGCCAGTGGATAGCACAATATTATACATAAACATCTAAAACACTTATGCAATAATGAGTTTAAAATAAAGTCTTCAAAAATAGCTTGGCAAGAATAATATCAACTAAAATACTACATCATACACATTTTTTTTTTACTATTTGATGTCTATTTAAAGGTGCATTGCGCAAGTCTTTGAGTTTTTGTGGAACTGCCCCCTCTGTCGACAAGCGAAACTGCAACCAGAGGTGTGCACACTCATGGACCACACACACACACGCACGCTTGCACGAGCTGTTCATAACCAAATCAGCCGCACAAATCTTTTGTCACAGTCATAATGTCTTCAGAGGTAATAAAGTTATAAATCTGCAAGTAATTTTAAATATATGAAAGGAAAGGCATTTGAGTAAATTACACACTTATGTGTGAGGGGAAAACAGGGGTAGTAGAAAACTTTGTTTTTTGTTTCCATCTATCTCCATGTTGAACTGTTTTATGTGTTTACTTTATCCACTTATAATTGTATTATTATGGAAACATGTTCATGAACAATGTAAGTTATTACTTTGAATGGGATCCCGTTTGAGCCCTAGAGCAGACCGGAGATCTGTCCATTTGTTGAAAGCCTTCCCGATGTTGATTTTCGTCTTATTCCGACGCCTGACTGACTCCAATTTGGCCCTTTTGGTGGCACTAGACAAAAGTTTTATTTTCTTTGTCTTATGTGGAGTTTGCGTTGGGGTTTGGAAGAACTACAAGCCCAGTGGCGCAAAAAGTGGGTATGCGCTATATGCGGCGCATAGGGGCGCAGCACAATGGGGGGCGCCAAAGCGATGGTAAAAAAAAAAAAATATATATATATATATATATATATATATATAGGCTATAACGGCAGCTATTTCTATATGTAGCTGCCGTTGTGCGTTTCTAAATCATTTCTGCATTCCTTCAATGTTATATAAAATTTTAGAGGACTAACAGTCAGGCTAGAGTAGGCGCCCTCATGGAGAAGGGGGGCGGGTAATATCGCGAGCGGGCGGGGGCGCCGTGAGCTCTGAGCGAGCAGGTACGAGTAGTGAGTTGTCGTCGAAAAAGATGGATAAAACAAAATGCTGTGGTGCTCAAAATAGAAAAAGAAAGAGAGAAAAGGAGATGGCATGTCAATTGATGCGACAGCAGCTAAATAACTGCATGCATTGCTGAAAGCCAACAGGTAGGATTTAAAATGTGACATCCAGGCATGGCTATCTATATCTCGGTGGCCATCGGAACTGAGATTCCCGCTGGGCCGACGTGCTTTTCAGACAATACATTTCATCCTTTTTTAATTTATTTGTCTTAACGGCCCACAAAACTCATACATCGGCGGCCCATTTGTTTGTTTGTTGTTTGTTTTTGTTTTGTTTTTTTGCTTAATTGGCGGCGCTGTGCTGGTGTAATGCATTGGTCAAAAAAAATTCAGCTTTAGTTTTTTTTTTTTTCTGACACACTGGCCCATGAAATATGTCATTATGCGCAAGTATCTTTCAAGTATAGAAATTAGTGCAAAACTAATTAAAGTTTCCTTTATTTTTCTGTGCATTTGTTTTACAATAGCCTTTATGGCAATTACTATCATGGGATTAATATTATTATAACTATTATTTTGTAGTAGTGTAATTTAGACAGACACTAACTAAAAGAGGATCAAATTTTTCTCTGTTTAATTTGCACCCTGAATATGGGTTGGAGCTTTTAATTTTGAACTCTCAAAGTGCACCAGACTGCTGAATTTAACATTACAGAACACAACATTTTCTTACGGGGGAGCATGCCCCCGAACCCCCCTAGAGAAACAGAGGTCCACCTACCACAGTTTTACCTAAAATCCTGTGAGAAACACTGGTATTGCTGTTACAATGGAGCTTATAGTTTTCTTAGGGGGGTTCATCAAGGTGGAGTAGCTATAGTTTAATTGTGCTAATAAACGACAATTTTGCACTTATTTTTTTTCCGTTAGCTCTCATTTCTTCCTACTCACTTATTACACAGCACACTTACATTACATTTATTTTATTTTTATTCTATTTATTTTTATTTATTTTCTTTTTTTGGGGGGGGGGGGGGGCGCTAAAATTGTTGCTGCATACCCCTCTGAAACTGGGTAGTTGCGCCCCTGCGGTCTCTTTGAATCCATCTTCTACTTTTGTCGAAAGTTGACTAAAGTTGTGTCGCTCGAGTTGTCTTCGCTGATACAGAGAATGGTGGCGAATGCACAAACCTACCAGACAAAGCCAGGTGAGCGTGAACGCGCATGACATCACGCCCAGTCTCAATTTCTGTCCCAAATCCCTCTTATTTATTTTACCCTACAGAATTCTAGAAGCAATCACAGTGATCAGAGAAGGGCTCATTCAGCCCATCAGGCCAATGTTTAAGCATGTATGGGTTAGAAAAACAGTTTTTTTTAAACATAAAATGTTGCACCATGCACCTTTAAATTATGTAAACCTTGTCGATATGAAACTCTAATTTATGAAATAAGCACAGCACGATTGCAAATCAAATAGCCACGTTGCCGTCTCTGCGGGAATCAGAATCCAGCTCTCTGTCAAGTCTCTGTCAAGAGTAATATGAACTAAGATACTCAATCATACACATTTACTACGACTTAATATGTCTATTTAATTTTTTTTAACTTTTCGCAATATGATACAGGCTACTTATTTCTCTCTCTCTCTCTCTCTCTCTCTCTCTCTCTCTCTCTCTCTCTCGCTCTCTATCTATCTCTCTCTCTCTCAGAAACAGCAAGGATTTAGGCTACGTATAACTTAATATTTTAGGCTATGTATATATTTATAAAAAAAAATCCTCTAATCAACTATTTATACTCTGACTCTAGTCAATAGTCTGACTCTTCTTATTTGAGGTTGTGGATGATTGTCCTGACATAACTCACTCACAAAGTATGTACACAAAGTTGAAAATGGAATATATTTAAATATTACAAATATTATATCACAAATAATTATCTTATGGGTTATATAAAGCATTTTTTTAAATTATACATATTAAAAGGAACAGATATACATTTAAAATGTTTGTTTTTTTTCCCCCCCAAGTAATTCGACAAACTTCCTTTTAAAGTCCCGACCACTTACGGATACAGATAATACAGATACTTACGAATATAGATACGAATAACTTCGAGATTGTTACAGATCCATAACCAGATATACAAATCCAAATATTGGCTCTGCTGGAGTACAGCATATGGCACCTTTCTTTGAAAATAGTGGCCATACTGATGTATTTTGGGGCATTGGACTGCATTTCTAATCAGCGTGCCCCTGACATTATGGTAGACTGTTTATCTGAAATGCACCAAGAAAATTTTTTTTATTTCAGGTGAGCTATTCCAAAAGCAACATTATTGTGCTTTCCTTAGGGAGTCAGTGATGACATCAGTTTCCCATCTACTGGGACAGATGATACTGTCTAATGTCTAAAGAGACATGCTAATTTGCATCTCTGTCAAAAAAAAATTGTATCCCTGACATAAGTGCCAAGAAGACTGCCACATCCTGAAAATGAAACATAAATAATAAATATACAAGGAAAGATATCATCCTCTTCCTCTCAGAGTTGTATTATTATTTAGCTATACAGTAAAGAAATGCTAATTTCTTAGTATGACAATTATATTGCATTTAGAAAAAAGCTGCACTGGCTATTTATAGTGTTTTTGTATTGGACATATATAATTTAATAAAGAATTTGCCTCTAGGTTCATAAAAACTGCATGATCATAAAGATTATTGGTTGTTCATAGTGAACGACCAAAATTAGCATAATTATATTATAGTAGGAATCTATAGGAATTTATTAGCCTATATAGTCCCATGATTCCCCTAGGGGGGATTTGTGGGTCGATGGACTGAAGTAACCATCATTTAGCGATTGTGCTGATGTCATCAGCTTTTGCCATTACAGAGAACAGCACTTGGGTTCCATGATTCAGCAATGCAGGTCAATACACAAAGCCAAAATCAAGAATGCTTATATGCACAAAAGCATCTAAGGTCAGCAAATTAAGGGGG